TGATGCGTTGGTGCATCAGTGCCCTCCACATAGTGCCCTCCACATAGCTGCATAGCTGCTTTCTCTCCATGTGGCTAGCTTGGGCTTCCTTTCAACATGGTAGCCAAGAGGATAGACCTACCTATGGGAGACTCCTCAAAGTGAGCATTACAAGGGGCAAAAGCAGCACCTCAAGTCTTCCTCAACAGTTCCACAGGCAGAACACATTCAAGTACCTCACACATACAGGAAAGCTGTCCAATTATGCCCATGTTTATAATATATTCACTCTAACCCAGATTGAAAACAGCATCAATTAACAAGGAAGAACTGGAAAATAATAAAGCACAGTATGCTCATTCAACCTTACAAAGCTGTTAAGTGAGTACAACAATGTGAATAAATTTTGAAAACAACTGAGTATTAAGCAGGGTGATTTATATAAGTAATTACATAATTCATAAAAAATTAAATCAAAAGGAAATAATATGGGAATGTGAGTCATTAGTAATTTTAGAAATATTGTTGTTTTTAAATATCAGCCACAAATAGGAAAATATTATTTATTACAATTGTGAGTTAGAGATTCAAATATTTTATATTATTTTCTATATTTTTATTTAAATGCTTTATTTAAAAAAACAAAAAACACTTGACAGTGCATACCTGTACTCCCAGCACTCAGGAGGGAGGCTAAAGTGGAAGCATTTTGAGTTTGAGGCCAGCTGGCCTACATAGTAAGTTCCAGATTAGCCTGAGCTCCATAGTGGGACCATGTCACAAAATAAATAATAAAGAATTAAATGAACTATTTGCAAAAAGGGGTTTTAATTAAAAGTTACAGGGAATCATTTCTGCTACATTCCACACAGCAAAGCTTTTCTCAAGGCCAATGCAGACTCAAGGGGAGGGGAGAAGAACCCACCTCTAAAAGAAGTTGCAAAGAATTTGTGGCCAGCCACCTATAGCCCACCAGAAAATCCTTCTGAGATTATATTTCAGCCTAACTATTTCTTAGGATGAAGAACTCCATATAATGTGTAAGTAGGGTACTAGAGAAAGACCCAATGAGAAATTACCTTAGCTCCTAACCCCTGGACCTAGACCGGTTCCCTCAGAGTCCTGTTTTAATGATCCTGATAAGCAGCTGCCCAAAGCCTCCCCTCCAGGGCTCTCAGGTGGACGCACATTTCTGAGGTGCCACAAAATAAAGCCATGGTAAGTCAGGGTGACTATCTCTATTCAAGTTCAAACGTTCATACTTAGAAAAATAACTTTTAGAACAAAGACACATCATAACTATAATTTTTTGGAAATAACACCAAAAACCTAGACTTGACTCTTCAGTGACTCTTCAGTGACCTGGTCAGGTGGGCTTACTGACCCCAATGGGAGCCCTGGCAGAGAGCACCTCACAGTGTATCAACTTCTAGCACTGAGGCTCTCAAAGATACCATCAACTAGAGAATCTCTACCAGGAACATGATCGCTCTGTGATCTCCCTGCACAGTGAGTGCAGAACCCAGCTCGACCTCCCTCCTCACCCACCATCTGAACTCTGCCCCATGTGCAGAAGAAGGCAAAAATGGGGCCGATAATTAATCACTGCTGGAGATACAGAAACAAAACTCGTCTTCTTCCTCAGCAAACTTAAATAATAATATGCAAAACCCAACAATATAAATATTTGGGGGGTGAATACTACTTTGTTTAAAAACTCAAGGGAATGTCTCTTCAAAAAATACATCTCACTCTTGCCAGGAACAGTGGTTCATGCCTTTAATCCCAGCACTCTGGAAGCAGAAGCCAGAAGATCTGTGTGAGATCAAGGGCCTGGTCTACATGAGTTCCAGACCAGGTAGGGTTACAGGGAGACCCTGTCTCAAAAAAATAAAGTATAACTCATAGAAAACCTAACAGCAATTACAATAGGTTTAAGAATCCTGAATGAGCAGGACATGGTAGCACACACCTATAATTCAAGCAACTCAGGAGGCAGAGGCAGAAAGACAGGAAGCTTGCCATGAGTTCAAGACCAGCCTGGGCTACATTGGTGGGACCCTGCCTCAAAAAACAACAAACAAACAAACAAAAACCTGCAGGCAGTCTCATTTATGATAGTAATTTGTGTGTGTGTGTGTGTGTGTGTGTGTGTGTGTGCGCGCGCGCGCACGCACAAAACCTATACTTTAACTAAAAATAAAGTTTGGAGTGCTCAAAGAAACTTTCACCAGAGTCGAAAAAGTAAAAGAAGTCCATGGATTTATATAATTAAGTTACAAAAGTGCTTGGAACTAAGTAGTTGTCATTTTCACAAGCACTTACTAAAAATTAACAAAGCTAGAATGCTGTGGATAGCAAGAAAAACGTTCCCAAAGAAGATTCAGTGATCCAATACTGTAAAAATGTCTGTTTTCCACAAGCATAGCTCCAACTAGATGCCACTCTAATAAAAATCACTGTGGGTTTTATTTGAGGGGAAGAACAGTAAGAAAATCATTCAAAAATTCTACTGGTAGAAAAGAATGGGTGAGCTGATTAGCCAAAGACATTTTGAAAATGAAGAAAAATGATGGCATTCTTACTTAAATAGGTGTTGAAATTATTTTAAAGCTACAATAATTAAACGATTAAGTCTGGCTCAAGAATAATAAATCACAGAGGAAAAATGAAGAGATCTAGACTTACAAGTTAAAAAGTGAAAGACCAGTCAAAGCAGCAGGCCTCTGGGAAGCCAGAAGACAAATTGCATACTAAATAACGTTAAAATAACTCGCTAACCATTTAAAAAAATAGAGTGTTTTATTATGAAATTCCCTCAAAGTGAAGAGAAATGAAATGCAGAGAAACAAAACCATGAAAGGTATATAAAAGTTAGGTTGGTAATTTTATAAGCTTATGGTAATAATTTTTCTGAACTTAAAACAAATGATAACGAGAAAGACTGAGGGGCCTAAGAGATAGCTCAGAGTTAAGAGCACTGGCTGCTCTTGCAGAGGACCTGGATTCAATTCCCAGCACCACGACACGTACATACATGCAGGCAACACACTCATACACAAAAAGGAAAAATAATAAATAAAAAATTTTAATAAAAAGAAAAAGATTGATAGATTTGACTCATGAGCGTTTTAAGCTTCTATACATGTGAAAACATAATAACCAAAACTAAGAATAAACAATGACTACTGAGGAAAATATTGCAATATAAATGGTTTTTAAAAGAACACCCTTATTATCTAATCTTTACTGGGGAGGGGAAAGGTTCTAAAGTCGGTAAATGTTATGCATTAATGCTCTGAAACCCTCCATGCAGAGACTGAACCAAGCTCCAGCCTCGCTTACAGCTCATAAGACCATGTTCCTGGGAGTACTCCAGAGCTCACCAAAGTGACCATCTGAGAAAGCACAGTGCTGCCAAGAATACGCACTATGTAGTTTTGCCCATACCCAGTGAGAGGTGCCTGGCCTTGGGACACTTACTGCAGGAGCTTGTAGTTGTGACTACGTTTCTGGAGGTCCAGAGAGCTGTTCCTTGGAACTGTAACCACAGGAAGGAAGAGGTGCTCCATCTCCCAGCCTCCTTGGGAGGACGGGACACCAGCTTCAGTAACTGTTGGCCGGCAAACACAGCACCTAGTCTAATCACACACATGCTGACTAGTGTTCCAGATTCTTCTCTAACTCTTCTCGGAGCTGGTTCTCCACTGCCCTGCCCTCACCTATGGGTTCAAATGCCTCTCTGCCCACACCTGAAGCTCTCTCCACAACTGTCGGTAGTTATTGGGGAAGAAAAAAAAAAAAAAAACCATTTGTTTGTGTTTTGCGATTTGTTTTTTAGCAAGTATTGGGAATGAAACCCAGGGCCTTATGCATGCTATAACCCCACCCCACAAGTTCTGTTTCCATGTTTTAACTAACATCTGGCTGTGTTTGCCTTTGACAATAAAATTTACAAAATAGTACAATGTTGAGATTGAGCACAATTTTTATTTTGTGTTTTGTTTTCTATTAAATAAATGTATTGATCTTGTGCAAAAATTAATGTTCTCGGGTAATTTAAGCTTCCTACCTGTCCTAATCTCATTTCTGTTGCTGTAATGAAATACCCTGACAAAAGCAACTGAGGTGAGAAAGGGTTTATCTTAGGTCGCAGTTCCAGATCAGTCCGTCACAGCAGGAAGGTCAAGGCAGCAGGAGCTTGAAGCACCTGGTTGGGTCACGTCCAGTCAGGAGCAGAGAGATGACAGCACGCATACTTACACTCAGCTCACCTCCTCTTTGCTAGAGCCCAGGCCACAAACTCAAAGAATGGTGCTGCCCACTTTGAGTCTGGGTCTTTCCACATCAATTAATATAATCAAGATGACCCCACAGGCAGGCCACCTACTGTGGACAATTCCTCATTAAGACTCCCTTCCCAGATTATTCCAGTTGACACTTCACACTAACCATCATGCTACCAGAGAGAAATGAAATTCATGTATCAATGCCAAAGTCTCCTGGGAACCGTGGATAACTCCAGGTTACCAAATACTCTCTATCCTAGGTCCAAAAACTTTACATATATCCTCTCTAAATCCTGATTTTAAAAAAAGAGCTCAAGTAGACTATTCTTATTACAATGTTCCCCAAAACAAGGTGATGACTCAGAGTTCAGCAAGCTTCCGGGGGTCACAAAGCAGTAAGTCATAGAGTTGGAAGTGGGTGGATCTCAGCTGACCTAACCAGAAGCCCAGGACTACCTTTGCAATATAGACAGTCTACAGTCTGCTAACTCTGTACCCAACCACTGTTCATCTTGGCAGTTCTTTTTCTCTGTCTGACCCTTATCTGTTCAAGAAGTGGATGGGCCCTAAAGTGTGTCAAGTTCCTTCCTGCTCAGACATGCCAGACTTCTGTCTCATAAAGCACCCAGGACCAACCAGTGGCCAAGGACAGGTACAAACCAGATACCAGTCCCACTGGCCTTAGAGGCTAGAAGCTGGTACCCCACACAGGTGGCCCATGTACTGACCCACCTTGAATTCCTCATGGATACGTTCCTCTAGGATTTTAGCAGCTTTTCGGTCCTCCGTCTCCACTTTCCACTTCTCCGCCAGGATCCGGGCTTTCTCATTGGCCAGGGCATCCCGGAACTTCTTGGTGATCTCTGCTTCCTTCTGTCTCCTTCCAAGAGAGCACCAGCAGGAATGAGCTCCAGTGAAAAACTAAAGGATCGTGTCATAATGCAACTTCAAATGAAATGGTGAGCAACCTTCCCTTGATATACAGATAGCAAATAAAAGGTCAAGAGTGCTCATACTGCAAAGGAGGGGAGGGAAAAAATCGCTTTCACGTGTAGAGGGTAAATCAGCAGGACCATTCTGGAGACAGGAAAACAAGACATGAAAATCCTATTTCTCATCAGGTAAGTTTCATAACAAGAAATAATGAACAACTCAAATGTCTATCAAAAGGAACAATAAGTTGCATTTTTTTGTGTGTAACAAAACCCTGTATCAGAATCTTGAATAGCCTTGTGAATTTGACCTGATCAATTTGTCAAGATGTGAATAAAGGAGTTTGCAAAACATGTGTCACTTAAATACTCTGTTTATCTTGGGTATTGGTTGCTGAGTGTTCTTTAATTCTTTATCATTTTCAGTGTTGTTTACTTATTTTTACAATTAAAATGCTATCAGGACTCAAGGTGGGGAGGATATTGAAGGTGCAATCACATGGAATTCCAAGTTTAAACAACAACAACAACAAAAAAAAAAATGTTAAAAGTCCAAATGTCCCTGGGGATTCAGCTATCCATCTGCTGTGAAAATGTGGATAACAGGCCAAGGGATAGCAGATGACCAAAGAGAATCTTACTGCTGGACCAATCCTCTGAGAACCCAACAGAGTGGGAAGGGCTGAGGAGATGGCTCAGTCAGTAAAGTGCTTGCCTTATGAGCACAAGGAACTGAGTTCAGAGCCCCCCCCCAACACCCTTGTAAAAATCTGGGTGCAGTTGTACGTGTGTATAATCCCAGTACTGGGGAGGCAAAGATGGGGGTCTCTGGGACTCACTGATCACCCAACTTAGCAAATTGATGAGCTCTGGGTTCCATGACAGAGCCTGTCTCAAAAAAGTAAGATAGAGGACTAGAGAGATGGCTCAGCCGTTAAGAGCACTGGCTGCTCTTGCAGAAGACTCGGGTTCAATTTCCAGCACCCACATCATAGCTAACAACCATCCATGACGCCCTCTTCTGACCTCCTTGGGCTATACAAGACACGGATGCACTTACATACATGCAGGCAATACACTCATACATGTGAAATAAAAGTAATAAATTACATATATATATATATTAAGATGGATAAACATAGAGGAAGATACCTGACATTGATCTCTGGCCTTCCACATACATACACACAATCACATGTACATGAGCACAAGAACACATAGACAGACAGACAGACAGACAGACATATAAAATATGTTGTACATACTCTCCAGGTGAATCCTAACCACGTGCATATAAGAAGGGGTTTTAGGGTGTTAAGCCACACTACCACCACTGATAGGAGAAAATTGAGATCCTAGATCAGCTGGTTGGAGGGTCAGGAACTTGAACCCACAATGTTGACTGCAGAACTTAGCATAACCTGCCACTGACTGGCACCTGCTTTTTCTACTCACAGCTGTGGACTTACCCAGGGGTCCAGGCTCAGGCCCCACCCAGCACCCTCCCAGCTGGCACCTCTCACCAGAGCTCCTCAGCCTCTCTCTGAGCTTGCAGCCGTGCTCTCTCTGCAATCAGCTCCTCGGAGATCTCTTCATAGGGCTTGTCTCCAGGGCCTTCACCCATGACCCACACCCAGACCTCGCCATCTGCTCCCAGCAGCCACTGGATGTGCTTGTTGCTTGCTGCCTCACGGTGAAAGTAGGAAGAGAAAAAAGAAGAAACACATCTGATTTCCAATTAAGGAGCAAGTTAAGCTGGTACCTATTGAATGGTCAACAGCCACGAGTGCCCTCCAGGGAGCAACACAACAGCTAACCCAGTGCCCCAGCACTGAGATGAGCTCTCATGAGGTCTGCATCTAGGAGAACATCAAAAGACAGTGTGGCACTATCTGTAGGAAGTGGCTAGTGACACTCCTGAGTTTAGGCAGTCAGGTACCAGTGAGCCTTCTTTGCCTGCTCACTGTCCTTCCTGCCGGCTGACTAGAAAGAAGAAATCAGAAATTTGCAAGTAAAGCAGCCTGGGTCTTGAAGTCATTGTGATATACATTACATTGTCATTTGAACAAGAAAAGAACCTCTACTAGATTCAGCCCGGAGAGCCCTCAGTTTGTCAATAACAACAGGTTCCACTGATGACTGTGACTAAAGTGATAAGGAGCTGTTAAACAGGAACTGTGTGTCCTCACCTTACCAGTTGGTGGTAAGTGACACCAGCAGGTGGAACAGCTGGAGATCTGTGTCATGGAAGAACAAAGCAGTGGGTCAAAATGCCACTGATGTATTATAACTTAAGTCCTGTGTTTTCTGGATCTGTCGTTCTAAAGGAGAAGTTGAACATGAGACATTAGTAATGTGTGTCAGCTGCATCCAGCACAGTGCTAAGAGGAAAAAGAACCGAATTCAAGAAGGAATCTAATGCTTTGCAAGTGGAAATGAAAGAGAACAGAGAAAATATAGAAATCTGGCGCTCCATGAGATTGAAAAAAAAAAAACCACTTTCTAGGCTCCAAATTGCCAGAGATGAGCTGAGCTGTGCATGACTGTAATCCCCCCACTCAGTAGGTGCTCAGACAAAAGAATAATGAATTCCAGGCCAACCTCGGCTACATGGTGAGAACCTGTCTCAAAAAAAAAAAAAAATGCAAGAGATAAACTTTTTAAGAGTTTTATAACTGTTTGAGATGAATAAGGTGACCCAGGACATAAACACTGTGGCTGTGAGCATGCGCCTTCCCAACTGCCACTTTGAGCAGATGTTGCTGACCAGAATCACAGCCTTGGATCTGGGTCTTTCCTGGGACCATGTTTCCCAAAGGCTGCTCCAGTCTCTGGCTGAGCCTGGACTCATAACTGGGACATCTGACTTCCTGCTAAACCTTCCTTGCACTGCATGGCTATCTAGAAACCCCCCCGCCCAGCCTCCCTCTCTCCATCGCTCAAGGTCAAGTGAGAAATTTTTAAATATCTATTTATTTTAAATAATGATACACTGCATTATACAAAATGGTTTTATGATAAAAAAAAAAAAGGTATATATTCTAAAACAAAAGAGTCGTCATTCAGGCCCTACTCACTGGCCCCTCCAGATTCAACCGCCTCCCCTTCCAGGCCCTTGCTTCCTGAAGCTCTGTTCCCATCCCCTTCTCCCACAAACGCCTTCCACTATCCAGACCTCTACTCTTTTTTTTTTTTTTACAAGATCGATTTTATTATCAGGAAACAATTATACATAAGTAAATAGTTTTTTAAGGAATTTAAATTTTAATATGGGCATTCCCATAATACAAGCCTAATTCTAAAGACAATATATGTATTACCCAGTTTCAACCATCTAAGTCCTACTATAGTTCAATATGTCTTGTGCCCCAAGGGTGTTCTAGCAAACATGGTAGGTGAGGTGACTCTTTTTTTTTTTAATAATTTATTGAGAATTTCATACATGTGTATAAGGTGTTTTGATCAAATCCATGCCCACTCCCTCCCCTCCAACTCCTCCCATATCTCCCCATCACTTTTTTCTGATAACTTCATGACCTCTTTCTTCCTCTTTGATTTATTTATATATTTTTATGGGAATTTGGCTACTCTAACATACCCCCTTCTGAAGAGGTAACCCTAAAATCTTTTAAGGATTAGATAAGAGCTCCTAAATACTTCAACATTTATGACCTTTGGAATGGAGTATGTTGCTAAGAGGCCCAAAGACATTTTAACTTTTAGCCAAAAAACTGGCTACTTTTCTTTTGGGTCTTTTTACCCTAACTGCCCTCTGCTCTCTACTCTTTTGACACTTTTGCTGACGTAAGTAAGTATGACGACTTTCTTCCTCCTGACATTGAGGATTATAACCATATAAGAATTCAATGGTAAGAGAATCTTTATTACTGTCCGAAAGATCAATAACGATTAGGAGAAAAAATGAAGACGTTGAGGAAGAAATTTGCCTGCATTGGTACTGCCATTAAGCATCCAGGATGTGAAGGAATTAGCTACGGGGTGACCAGCACAAGAACACGTGCCAGTTCCTGACAGACGTGGCCTCTCTGACGATGATCAACCGCAGTTCGTGGGTTTAAAGTACTCGTGGCTCTCAGAAGTTTAAGTGAGGATTTCCTCGCCATATGTAGAATTTCCCTTCTGTCCCTTGTCACAAGTTTAAAAATCACATATAATGTAATAATTTAGGGTCCACTTTTCTTTTTTTTTTTTTAATGTGTATGTGTGTGTTGTCTGCATATACCATTAAGTACACCCATGCATATAATACCCGCAGAGGCCAGAAGAGGGCATCAGATCCCCTGGAACTGAAGTTACAAACAGCTGTTAACCACCACAGACCAAACTAAATCTGGGTCCTCTGCAAGAGAAGTCAGAGCTCTTAACTGCTGAACCATCTCCCCAGTCTTTTGTGGGGGGGGTCCACTTTTATCTTGGACTAGTGTAACTCCTTTATACAATAAACTGAAATGAGCTTTTTTAAAAACTGAATCATCAGGGCTGGAGAGATGGCTCAGCAGATAAGAACACTGACTGTTCTTGCAGAAGACGCAGGTTCAAATCCCAGCACCCACACGGCAACTAACAACTGTCTGTAACTCCAGTTCCAGGGGATCCGACACTCTTTTCTTTCCTCCATGGGCATTGCATGACACGGGTGCACTTACCTACGTGCAGGCAATACACGCATACACATAAAAGAAAATAAAAATAATAAATAAAACATTTTTAAAATGAATCATCATGGGAAAACATAGAAGGAAAGTTCAATGACATTGGTCTTGGAAATAGGCATTTTGTATGTGAACCAAAAGTACAGGCAATAAAAGCAAAAATAGACCAATGGGATTATTCCAAACCAAAAAGCTTTTACACAGCCAAGAAAACAATTTTCAGAGTGAAGAGACAAACTATGGAGGGAGAAAAAAATACTTGCAAACCACAGAGCTGGTAAAGGGTTGATATTCAAAACACACAAGGAACTCAAGCAACTCAATGTCAAGCAAATAAATAATTCAGTTTAAAAATTAGTAAAGGGCTTGAATAGACACTTCTTAAAAGAAGACGGACAAATAGCCAGGTATGAGAAAAAAAATGTTCAACATCATTTATCATCAGAGAACCTCAAAACCATAATGGGGTATCCCTCCACACCCATTAGAATAGCTAGTATCAAAACCTCCCACTGTATAAGTTTCTTAAAGTACACACATACACAACATAAAAAGATTAAAAGAAGTTACCTTATAACAGAGGTGCATTGCCCCTATTAGACACCATAGGCTTGCACACCCAATACCAGGAGTGGACACCCCCTTTTGAAGCTGCTGACCAGAGGTCCAATAGACCCTCAAAAATTACTGGTTAGTGCCTTTGCTTTAGATTACCTACCATAACTTCATGGTAAAACCCCATTGCTGAAGACACTACGTAGATGAGTGGTAGAAAAAACAAGAAATCAAACTAATGCTGACCTCAAAGCTTCATCTCTACTGGCTGGCATTCATAGTGTTGGAAGGTGCTATCCATGCTATTGTAAAAGAAAAGTAATCATCAACCTTCACCAGCTGTAAACCGTGAAAACTTACAATAGCAACCGGCCTGGCAAGAGATGCCCAGTGGTACAACAGTAGCACAAATGCTATGTGAGTAACCAACAAGTCTCTGATTGGCTTTAAGGTCCATTTCACAAGATGCAGCCTCTGTCTGGCACTGATATCAGGCCTAGAAACCTGTGGCTAAATAGGTCACATGTCATAAGGGAGAACCTACTACTATTATGCTACTAAATGGAAATAGTATTAGACGGACTCCTAATGACTTATTGTGATACCTATAGATTAATGCATATCTCAACTCTCACCAAAGAAACTTCTTCTTACAGCAGATGGTAATTAATAGAGAACCACAGGTAGTCAATGTGCAGAGAAAAATAGCCTGCATAGTGCTTAGCCCTGAATGGGACACCTATATCAAACTCTTGCCTACCAAGGCTCAGGGGTCATTGCAGAAGGGGAGCAGAAAGATTGTGAGAGCCAAAGGTGATGAATGCCCATAAGGAAAGTGTTTCCCAGATAGCTGGGCAGTTACTCATATGAACTCACAGCAGTTGTGACAGCATACACAAGACCCCCGTAAGCTCAAGCCAGACAAATTCCCAGAGGGGAGGAGGTGGGTAAGAAGTCCTGGGAACCCTAGCTGACCAACTATTAGCAACTGATAGCTGCCGGGAGAGAGTCAGTTTTCTTTATGGGTGTGACCCTGGGTAGGTTGACCGGGCTCTGGGGGATAGACCCACATTGAAGAGCAAATTAGACTCCATAGGCCTTAAAAAATAATAGAGGACATGAAATCTGGCATGAGGTAGTAAGGGGGTGCAGATGGGGAAGGGTCTGAATATGATCAAAATAAAAAATATTTAAATATATAAGATAAAAAGCTTGGGGGACATGAAAAAAGAGCATTTGTACAGTGTTGTAATAGTGTAAATTAATGCAGTCATTATTGAAAGCAGTACTGAAGTTTCTCGAAAAACTAAAACTAAAGATATGTACATATATATGTATATATATGTATATTATCCAAAAGAAGTGGTCAGTATATCAATGATGTCGTCACTCATGTTCACTGTAGCAGCGTGTAGAGCCAAGAAATGGCATTAACCTGTGTCCACCATGAGACGG